TGACTTCAGTTATTAGTAGTTTAATATTCAAACATACTTCTCTATATTAAAATTAAAATTTTGTATTATTGCTAAAGTGGAACCAGTGAATTTTTACACATGACAATTTGTTATTATTATTCGTTGTATAATAATTGTTATTTTTAACATTTTTTGTCATGTTACTTTCATTTTCTCATATTCTCGTGATTGGCGTAATTTATCTATCTTTGCTAACTACGAGTATAAAACTAAAATTTAATAAATAATAATATACTTACTTTTCTCCGACACTCTCAAACAAAATAACACTGATTCACTCTAATTTGTGTGATATTTTCTTAGCACTTTCCTTTTCAAGATTCAGGAAACGAATAAACGTATTTGTCTCACATTCGCATTTGTGAGTGAAGCATTTAATTTTCATAACAATAAGAACAAAAAAATTCTGTGTGTTTACTTTTCATGTGTGAATGGTGTGTTCGCGAGGATTGTTCTGAAACTTAAAAAAAAAAATGTTTTTATGTTTTGTTATGTCCAGGTTTTTATTTTTTTTAGTTCATAGGTAATTTATAAATAATGTATATGTCAATCGTAGACCCCCATTTTCATTTCATAGACCCCCAAATTTTTTTTTCGCTGACGTAGACCCCTTGCAGGCTGTCATCGACCTCTGGGGGTCGATATAGACCACTTTGGGAATCACTGCTATAGAATGTAGAAAACAGAATCTGTTTCAATCCAATGATTGATAATTAAGTATAGATATGATTTATTGAAAATTGGAAAAAAAAAGAAATAGTGTAAAATGTTTATTAATAGAAGAAATGCATTTTTTCTCTCGACAATATTTCAAAATTTCTAGGTTTTGTTATTTAATCTTTTCTCGATTGGCATATGTAGTACGATAAAAATGTGCAGCGAATATCGTTTAACAGGAACAGTTTGCTATTAAACCAAATGTGTATGCAGAACTCGTTTCCACCATTATTGTCCGGTGTGTTCGACCACCATTTCGATACATTAACCGGATTTCCGGTATTAATCCAACCGAATTGACCTATTTCCTTCATCGCCCCCGACGTCCAGATTGACAGCTCAGGCTTATATTCAACTGCAAAGTCAATTTAAAGATGCAAAGTTCACTTGGAAATGAAAAACGACTTACATTTATCCTTGACGATCTCGTGTATTTTATCGAACTCCTCATCAGAATCAATGCTCAACAATTCCATGCCCATTTTACTGCAGGCCATAAAGGCCTTGAACCATGTAGCCTGCAACAGAAATATTATAAAACCGAGCAACAACAAATTTTCAATCAAATTCAATCACCTTGTAGAAAGTTTCAAAATAATAAATTTTTTCTTTGTACTCGTAATGAGATGCATATCTCTTCGCACAATCTGTAACCGATGGTCCGCACAAGGCAAACAATAAAATCAGTAACAATTTAAGATTCATCTTCGCAGCAACACTGAATAAATATGCGAATACTGCAGCGCATTATATACAGAGAAAAAACCCGAGATTAAATTCGTTGTCACGTAAATAATCTTGAAGTCCTCACAGGTCAACAGATATATGTAGTAATTATTTATTACGCAACATATTCCATTATTAGAACTTTGTAGATGCTTGTTTATATGTTTATTTGAGGTATATTATGGCTAGTTACAAGATACAAAGGTTATAATGAATCCAAGGCTCGAAAACCAATACAGAGAACCTTACATGTTATTAGGACACATGAAGAGATAATAGAAAAGAGTAAAGAAAAGAGGTTGAATATGTTGCAGCTTATATACCCTAACAAGGTAGTACCCTTATCAAACTTTCCCGGAATACCAGCTGCTGAGCACCACAGAACGAATAATGAAATACTCAAATAAATTTTGCAGTATTTTTTGTAAATTATTTATTTGTTAAAGGTAACATTAATATAAAACATTTACTTCTAATTTAGTTCAATAACGAAAGTCGTTTTATTCCAAATTATCTGTATATTCCCAAGTCAAGGCCAACATTGATTCAAAAATATCTATCAATATTGACAAATAAATGTATATATATATGAGCCGTTCATTTTAAAATATTATCATTTAAATTTGATGACCGTTCATTTTGAAAGTGACTTAAGTCCATTTATCTTTAATTTGAAATACTTAAGGTTTTGCGTTTTTACAAAATTAAAAATATACGTAAGATATATGGTTGACTTGCAATGTTAAATCGCATTTAAGGGA